GGTGAGGGAATGTGAACGACTAAAGGAAACGCAGAACATGTCACTGAGGGAGAGAGCGCATGTCTTGGGCACTATTCAGGAGGCAGGCATGGAGACGACTCCCAGTGTTTTCCGAGTGGTTATTAAAGCATGCCTTCTGTATCCGAGGTGTTTGTCCCGAGCCCAGGAGGAAATTGATCAAGTCCTTGGCACTAGTCGGCTCCCGTCATTTGATGACATGAGCCGGTTGCCGTATATCAACGCGCTCATTCATGAGGCAGTGAGGTGGCAACCACTCACCCCGTTAGGATTGCCTCATTGCCCACTGAGAGATGACGAATTTATGGGGTATCATATTCCTGCAGGGTCCACCATTTTCCCGAATAATCACTCAATGGCCAATGACCCTGACGTATTCCCAGAACCCCTTGAATTTAAGCCAGAGAGATGGCTTGAGAACCTCGATCCTCCCTTCAGCCCGTTTGGGTATGGTCGACGAATTTGCCCAGGCAGGCATCATGCTTTGGATAGTCTCTTTATCGTTATCTCTCGTGTCATTTGGGCATACAATATCACCCATGCCTACCGGGATGGCAAAAGAGTTGATGTAGATGCTTGGGATAGCCATAACTCCTTTACCTCTTCACCAGCCCCATTTCCGACAGTACTCCGGGTCCGTAGTCAAGCGCACCAGCAAGTCATAGAGGAGGCCTGTTCATCTGCGAAAGAGAAACTGACTACATTCTTAGAGACCTTCAACCCAACATCTGGTGGATAGGTGCTCTGAAGAGTTCTGTATCATGCGTCTCTCTGCATAGTATATGTACATCTTTTGACAGGGTTTGCTCCAGAGACTAGTTTACGTTTAACAGCTTGCACAAGCACAGGTTTCGTTGGATTTCTCTTTTCTCTTTCTGGTTGAGCATTATCAAGACTGACAAGGCGTGATTCATACAAATTAGCCGAATAATTATATGGTATGCTGCTTAATCTCCAAGGCTTGAGTTCTAGTCTCTTGCGACTTTCATTATAGATAATCTCATGGAGACGGGGTTTCACAATATACTTAGAGAGTTCTACTGCATAAATATTTACGCAATCTGCCATTTAGGCAAGCAGATAGATGTAAAACTAATTTGCAGGCGGCAGAAAGGTATCTTCAGCGAAAGAAGCCAAAAAAAAACAAAGGCCGCTGAGAGCGTATCTTAGGGGAAGAGGGAAAGACAGAACCCACCAGGGAGATTGAGAAGCCGAGTTAAGCTTTACAGTACGTATTGACCAAACAATTGCATATTTGACTATTTCAAAGCTAATTACCGATTGGATTAGGATATTTAACTCGATTAGGCACCCGAATAGGGCACCCAGAACACTGCGGTATCACTCGTACTCATGGCCCACCTGCCAACAGCGCCAAAGCCCCTTACCTTCGATGATACACATTGGCGAAGTCAAAACTGTGAGGAAGGGGATGAATGGCAGCTGACCGGATAAGAGCATATGCTATATTATGGGTTTAAACCTGATACGCCAACTGATATATGCTAGTTCCATACATCCATAGCATAGTCGAGCTAACTTGATTTTCTCATGATGTACAAGTCCGGGATGTGTAATGCCGTGCAGATATTGGAATAAACCGAGACACCCATACCATAAAAATAGCCCGAAATGGTTGGACGTGTCTCAATGATAAATGTAACATTAAGTTGGCAATTATGCAGAACTCTCCAATTGCCTAGCGGGATCTTTGTCAGTGAGGTGATTCCTCGCGTCTGTCCTCAACCCCCTTGCCTAAGCTACAGATACACTTTCAATGCACCGTATTTGGATTCTGGAACTATTCGATGCCCTACTGAACCACAACAGTAGTGCATATTGTTCCCAGGCCGAGTATACCTAACAATTGTTATTCTCATATTCAATACCACTTCTCTCTTATCGCTTGGAGCTAAATTACGCGAATCGCCTGACAAGTATTGGAAATGCAAAAGTCCTGTAAGTGTAAACTCATCACAAAACGGGCTGCAGCACAGCCGGCCAATACGACTTGAGGGGATTGGGTTGGGCGACTAGATTACTTGATCTCACTAACTTCTATATTACAACAACGATATAGCCAAATCTTTGCTCGGACATTCATACATAGCAAAATCCCATTCTTGTATACGATTGAAAATGCAATGGAGAACAGGTTATAACAAGCCCTTTGACTGATAGTAGACTAGCTCTGACCACACTTCAGAAGGAAGCCGTCAAGGTCAAGATGACTGCTAGTTTAAGTGCGTGGCGTCAGTTTGGTCAGAAGAGGCGGTTTGTCCCAGATGATATAAGCACGTTGATCAGCCCAGCTGAAGCATTCGGGCAATAACTCCAAATCAAATTGCCAGATCAATCGTGCAAGGATCAGGCTTGCCTCCGCAAAGGCCAGACTGCAGGACTGAATCAGCTTTCTACCCGGATCGATCAATAGTGAGTGGTGACTGACCTCCTTCCCGGACACGCTCGTGGTCCCACGGAAAATGGTTGCATGGCAGCCTTGACGTCTTCATCTCCTTGACCAGTTCCTAGCCAGCGTTCCGGAAGAAACAGCTGGGGATCCTTGAAGTTGGACGAGGACTGGTAGGTCGCCCACGAAGCAACGGCAACAGATGTCTGGAGAGCTCGGTTATCTTTGAGTCTGTGCCCCTACCATGGATAGAGAGACTTCATACCTTCTCAGGCACGAACTGTCCTGACACCATAGCGCCCCCACCCGGTACAAGGCGCGGCATACCGAGCGGCAGAGGTGGGTACATGCGCAATGTTTCTTGTAGCACGGCTCGTAAGTATGGTATACTCGATAGCGACGAGAAAGTTATCTCTGACGGAGAGGAAAAACGATGTCGGATTTGGAAAGAAATTTCCTTGTATATCTCCGGATCCTTCAGAACGAAGAATGTGCACCCGGATAAAAGGGTGGCCGTCGTTTCACTGCCGGCCATCATCATGAAGCTATGGTTAGATAGAATTTCCTCTTCGGAAAGCGTTGATCGAGGGTCTTTACTCGCCCGGATATAAGCACTAAAAGTAGGTTGATCTAATTCAGACACCTTCCCCTTATCAACCTTTGAGGCGATAGAAGTGAGCTTCGTGGTCCGATGATGGAGCAGATCGCGACAAAAGAAAAGCACTGCAGCTTTGATTATCCAAGAAAGACTCGGGAAATACTTAGATTGGCTAAGAAAGGCCCACGCTTTGATGGACCCGAAAAGCATGTCTACCCAGGGGTGATACGTCCCTTGCTCAAGGCAGCCCAATGACTCGCCGAATAGCTCGAGGGACATGAAGTCAAACATCACATAGTTATACCATTCTGTCATGTCGACGGCGTGATCTCTTTTCTCTGTGATAACTTGTTGCAGCTTTTGCATAAGGGTGTCGACAAAGGGGCGTAGAAGACGCTCATGAGATTTCAGCGCAGGTTCCGAAAAAGCCCGTAAAATAGCCCGCTTCTGCCGGCCATGGACAGGATCTGGAGCGACCACAACACTTGGAGCCTTTGCTTTGGACGCATGGTAAAACCGCATGTCCTTGGGGAAGTTCCGTGAGGGGCCGTGGATGTCTCTCCACGCTTGCTCGTTCCGGTAGCTCAATTCGTCCGGAGCAACACGGACAACGTCCCCATACTGATCATGGAGGTGCTGTACCCACCTATGTAGATTGCCACGGGCATAGGCGGCTGCGTACGGAATTCTGGAGACCCCCCAGATGAATGGGCCTGGATAGCGGCTCAGAGGGTGAAAATATCGATTGTATACTACTCTCCATGCCAGAAACAGAAGAATCTACCAACCGACCGCAGTCAGGCTTTTGGAAAGCTTTTGTAACCTGAATTGGAAAGACTTACCAGAAGAAATCCGGTGTAAAGGTTGTAGAGAAGGTCCATTGCGTTCGTGGGAGGAACACACGAGATGTGTCCAACAATGACGTTGTCGCTGTCAGGAGCGTGAGACCCTCGATGTACTAAGCAGATAAGTACGCGGAATACTGATCTTTAAGGTTTACTGACAGCGAAGGGTTGCTCACCGTATTTTATGCCTTGCCTCTGTACTCTGCGTGGGCAAACTGTGCATGACGTTTATACGCGTCAAAGCCTTATTGAGATCTTCCTGTACGGTCTGGAGTCGATTGAAGAGTTCTTACATTCTTCAGTACTTAATAGAGACTGTCAGCAAGAACGAGCCGAAAAATAGAGTTAATGCAGCATTCCCTTGCACAGTCTCTGTTTGTACTCAACAACCCCATAGCGGTATTCCTTCATGCAGGAAGTCAAGTTCCATTGAATTTTCTGCAGGCTGTCTGAGCTGTGTGCAGCCACATGACGCCTCCTTAGACACTCTTTCGCTCGCTACTAGATATCTCTCCATCCAACCACCCTACTAGCGGGCCCTCCTTGCTGCACGGCTTGGTATATTTGCCGTCGTTTTGTGATTGTCATGAACCAAGCAGGGCTCCAGCGCAATTGTGTCCTCTAGGATGGTCCCCGTCCCATGTCTTGAGACCGGTTAAACGCGCACTATCATTGTAGCGCATTCACACTATTAAATCTTCAAGCGACGGCATCATTAGAAAGTTCCGCAGGACGTGGCTCCACCAATCAATCTATAACATTTCAAGGCAATGTGGGAGCTACCATGGCCAATTCTTACAGCTTCCTTGCTCGGCCAGCCAATACACGTCCGTACAAGACAAGATATGTCGGGAAGCGATAAAAAGGAAGAACAGTTGTTGAGTATATAAAACCGTATTTAAGACCCATTTGCCCTAGATGTGAAGGGATAAGCCCCTCTGTGCCGCATTACTTGTTATTACTTGTCTTTCTATCCAGTTCCTCGGGAATATTGCGTCCTCCTTGAAGATCACATATCTACGAATCATTATTTTCTATTGTATTGAATCTTGCTGTCCAGAAGTTCTTCTACGATCTTCTGGAATCTCGAACACGTCCACAAGTCTTAGCTGCCTTTGCTGAAGATACAATGGCCCCTCTTGGTGTCACTACTAGATCGCCCACTATCCTGGTGGATCTGGGGGGTATCTTTATGCATCCCAAAGTGGAACACAAATTAAAGACTCATGAATCCACCATCTCCTTGCGGAGAATCATGTCGACCTCAGCCTGGATGAACTATGAAACAGGACATTTAAGTGGTAAAGAGTGTTTTGAGCAGCTAGCCAAGGAATATCACTTTCAGGCGACTGACCTGGATGAGATGATCCATACTTTCCGCGAGACCATCGCCTACGAACAAGCTGCTGCTTCCATTTTCAAGGAGATTAAACGGACAGGGGTGCGTATTTTCCTGGTATCCAACATCTCTCATGAAGACTACGCAGCACTCCGCCAGCGGTGGGACGATGGATTCTGGTCTATCTTTGATGGCATTTTCACCTCGGCGGCCCTGGGCGTCCGAAAGCCCAGTTTACGTTTCTATCGGCACGTACTACGGTCCACAAGGGCAGTTCCTCGTGAGACCTTCTTCCTAGACGACCGGCCCGAGAACGTACTGGCGGCGATCTCTCTGGGGATGAGAGGAACATTTGACACCTCAGCGCTATATCGGACACTCACTAATGTTGTCGGCGATCCTGTGACACGCGGACTAGCATTTCTGCGACTTCAGAAAGGGTATTTTCCTACAACTACTCAGCATAACGAGACGATCGACGAAAACTACGCGCCGCTTCTCATCCTCGAAGCGTTAGGTGACCCGCATGTCTCTCTACCACATTACTTCTCACAATGATGCTAACTGCTACAAACCAGGAGTCTGGTGAACCTCAAAGCCCCACCCCGCCTCTGGAACTTCTTCAGCGGTCCGTCTTCCCTGGGTCTTCTGTCACATCGTCCAAAAGTCACTGATTCACAGCATAGGCGAGCCCCAATACACGAGTGACAGCTATCCTGACGACTTAGATACCACCTCGCTCGGCTTCCTAACGATGCCTCCTGACTCAGAGATAATCCACTCCGTCCTAGATGAGATGCACAACCACATAGACGAGGACGGTATTCCGCAGGTATGTCATCCTTTCATGCTCCCAGTGGCAGCAGCCGTATCCGGTAGAAGGAAGGCCTAACTCTCCATGCTAACAGGCATACTTCGACAAATCGCGCCCACGAGTCGATGCGGTCATAGCGCTCAACGTGTTGACCCTCTTCCATAAACACGGGCGTGGTCATGAGCTCCCCCAGACCGCAGAGTGGATGACCAACATCCTACTCAACAGGGCGTATGTGAAGGGGACGCGCTATTACGCAAACGCCGAGTGGTTTCTCTATTATATGACGCGTTTACTCCGTGCGTCAAACGACCAAACCCTGAAGGATAGGCTCGAAACGCCTCTTCGAGAGCGTGTCGCTGAGCGGATCGGCGCTCCCGGCGACGCATTCTGTCTCGGGATGCGACTGCTGGCGTGCAACTACCTCGGCTTGGAGAACCGCCCGGACCGCCAGACGCTTGCAGATTTGCAGCTTGAGGACGGAGGCTGGGAGGCCTCCTGTATTTACTTCTTTCCTGGCGCTAAGCGAGATGTTGGAAATCGAGGCGTCAGTACAGCGTTTGCTGTAAAGGCCCTTGAGGACTGGTCTGGGTGGTGATAGATCGTATATCCATGCTGATCAGCGTGGTTGGTGGAACTCCGAAATGCGCTATGAAAGTACAGGGGAAGTTTCTGAGCACATATTAACCACACCATACTATTCAACTAGCAGAGGTTTAATTTAAAGTATTCTATCAACCAAATATATGGAATAGAGATCAGTTCTCTAAATCTCCATTTCTTATATACGATCATGTATGGGAGAGTTATAACAGCTAGCCCTCTACTCGTTATATATTTAGCGCTCCAGTTATTTAAATACCGGGGTCTTTTATTATGAGTGTCGCAAG